GGGATGTAAGAATCAGATGGAGTATAAGAAAGCTATGAGTATCAAAAATTGCCTAATTATTCCATTTATGTCCATCTTTTCCCTATGATATCCACTATACATCTTTGCCTTCTCCGCATCGGTGTATGACAGTTGAAATAGTTGCAAGCCTATTTTTTTAATTTTTAGTATTAACATTCGTTATTATTTTTTTGTTTGTAAAGAAGTTGCTTTATACTTTGCTGATAGCCAGTAGTTTGTAAAACTTGAGGTTGCTTGTTTTTGCTTTTACATTTTCCTGCAAGATACTGTGAGGGAAACATCGGGTTTCTAACCACGGAGAGATAAGCAAAGGGGGAGTCCTTTCATGATTAGAGACTTATATCTTTCTGTAGATTATTTCCTTCTGTAAATGGTTTCCTAGAAGGTTTGATACCATTTCACCCTCCAGTTTCATTTTATTTTATTGTTTATTTCTATCCAACCTTTATTATTTTTACAAAGGACTCAAGGTGGCCAAGATATTAAATACATCTTTCTCCTCTTATTTAACAACAGCCCTGTGAGGTGGGTTGAACTGAGAGGGAGGAACTGGCCCAATGTCACCCAGCTGGCTTTCATACCCAAGGAGGGACTAGAACGCCATATCTTTTGCTTTCTAGCCTCCTCCTCCTCCTCCTCCTCCTCCTCCTGAATAACAGTTGTATTGGAGGTGAAAATTAAGGCTCACACAATGAAGGGGAAAAAAAGCAAGAGATGTTTATTACTGAATTATAACACTCTGAACCCTAAACTCAGCTTAAATAAAAGTACAGGTATGGCCAATTGAAGGTTCTTACAGCAAGCTTAGTCGCCAACCTTTTGGACTTCAGGGTTCACCAAACTCATAATTTTAAATCCCAGGGACCACTAACCAGTTATGTGGGTGTGGCCTAATGTATGGGTGTGGCTTGGTCATGTGACTGGCTGGGCATGGCTTGTATGTAAATATTATAAATATATAAATATTGAATGTTTTATATAAAAAGAGCAACTTCTATCCAAAATCAGGCAAAGCAGGCAGGCAGATTGAGTTGCTCACCGAATCACAGATTCATTCAGAAATCTATCTGCCATTGGCTAGCTCAGTCTGTCACACAAACTTTGCTTGCAAGCAAACTCACAAAATTAACTTACAACACGCCATGTATGTAAATATTGAATATTTTTGTTAAAAAAGCAACTTTTACCCCAAATCAGGCAAAGCAGGCAGATTGAGTTGCTCACAGGATCATTCAGTGATCTATCTTCCTGCCATCCGCTAGCTCAGTCTCTCAAATTTGCTTGCTGTGAGTCTCCACTGAATTTGCTTGCAAACAAACCTTCAGTCCTAAGGGAGGTTCGGCTGTGCTGAAGATCTAAAGACTAGCTAGAAAGCAAGAAATCCAACCATTTCCTGCTTCCTAGCTAATCTAAATTTCCCGGCACAGCAGAACAGATGATGGTCAGAAAAAGGAAAAATAGCAACTTAGCAGACAAGTTTACCAGGTAAGGAGTGAGTAGGTGGGGAGGATTCCCACAGGCCATGTGGGCTGCGCAGCCTTGTGTTTCTGCGCAGCCTGGATTAATTGCTTTGTGAGGGTGCTCTGCGGGTGAGATTTCTCTGCGGCCACCAAAATTTTCTCACGGCCCACCGGTTGGTGACCGCTGTTCTAGTCCATCCCCCTGCTCAGGCAGGGAACTCTCTACCTTTTCAGACAAATGGCTGTCCAGTCTCTTCTTAAAAACCTCTAGTCTTGAAGCACCCACAACTTCTGGAGGCAAGTCGTTCCCCCGATTAATTGTTCTCACTCTCAGGAAATTCCTCCTTAGTTCTAGGTTGCTTCTCTCCTGGGTTAGTTTCCACCCCGTTGCTTCTTGTCCTGCCTTCAGATGCTTTGGAGAATAGCTTGACCCCCTCTTCTTTGTGCAAGCTCCTCAAAAAGCAAAAGCACTTAGACTTGTATACCGCTTCATGGTGCTTTACGCTATGTCCTCTCTAAGCTGTTTACAGAGTCATCCTCTTGCCCCCAACAATCTGGGTCCCCATTTTACCGACCTCGGAAGGATGGACGGCCGAGTCAACCTTGAGTCAGTGAGGATTGAACTGCCAAACTGTTGGCAGCCTGCAGTCAGCAGATTTAGCCTGCAATACTGCATTCTAACCACTGTGCCACCCTGGAAGACTACTATCATATCACGTTGTCCTCTCAGTCCTTATCATTATTCCTCTAATCGTCATTATTCCCCTAATCCTCTTTGTTGCTCTTCTCTGCACTCTTTCTAGAGTCTCAACCTCTTTTTTTTACGATGTGGCAACCCAAACTGGACGCGCTATTCCAAGTGTGGTCTTGCCAAGGCAGCATAGAGTGGCATTTTCACGCCTGGAACCTACCCTGGGGGAACCTCTCTCTACCAGAACATGTGCTTTGGGCTATTCTATGTGCCGTATTTATGTGGTGCCTTCCTATTGATGGATTGATGGATGTTGATGGCTGCCGATTGGCTGTTGTTTCCTTACTTGATAAGCTGATGGTAAATCAGCACTCCTGTTGAGTGACAAGGAGTCTGTTTCCCAGGCGGCAATCATTTTTCCCTGGCTGTTTTTGTCTCTTCTTGGCCAACAATCTTAATAGCTGAAAAACTGAATGTATGGCCTCGTTCATCGCAACGTGATGCTACCCATGAGTTCGGCTCTCCTCGTCTGACAGCTCATTTGGGTTCTTTCTTGCAAGCAGGTTGTAAAATTACAAAAGTTTTGAAATTAAGTTGATAAGTAGGGAGGTCTTAAACTGCTGGAATACCAGGGACCCACAACAATGTTGAAGGTGGGCTGTTCATTCCCCCCAAAATACAACCTACCTTGAAAGTAAATCCTAGCTTGATTTTGATCTGTGCGCCCAATATAAGCCCTACCCCTCAAAATAAGCCCTAATTAAGATGCCACCCACTCCAGAATGCACAGGTAAAAATTAAGCTAGGCTGGGGATGGGAATGGTGGAGCTGCCCTACTACTTACCTTTGGACAGGTGTAGCCAGGCCTCGCTCACCCCGACACCTGCCTTGCTTGGCCATTTCTTCTGCAGCCGGCAAGGCTTTCCTTGAAGGCCTGTGTGGTTGAGAACAAAGCTCTGGATCGATCCAGAGCTCCATTATCAGTTGCAGAGGCCTTCAGGAAAGCCTTGCTGGCCACAGAAGAAGAAATTCCTGAAGGCCTCTGACAGCGAAAAGGAGTACAAGTGAGGTTAGTCAGTGGATGACTTCCCCCGAAAGTAAGACCTGGTGCCTTTTTTGGTGGCAAAAAAAATAATAATAGTGAGACAGGGTCTTGTTTTCAGGGAAACGTGGTATTTAACTGGAGAGATTTAGAACAGATTATGTGGTGCCCAGCCCAAGACAGAAGTCGGAAACTTTACCTTCCAAGTGGTAATTGAATTACTATCAAGAAACCCAGGACTTTGAGCGTCTAGTACCTGTTTGAGCATTTGGGGAAGTGAGTCATTTAAGAGCTGGGCTCGGTTCACATAAATTACAACGACAAGGAGGTTCATTAAGTGGAAAACAAGTGAATCACATTATGGCAGTAGTAAATGTGTGCAAGCCATGAGGTTATTTGAGTGCATGAGCTGAAGGATCTAAATTAGTTTCCCTCACGAATATTTCTGAATCTGTTCTCCGTCTTGGTTAATAAGAAAGGACTTCGAGCAAGTATAAGAAGACTTTGACATGCGACAGTTCATTTCCAAGTTAAAACAGCCCTGTAAAAAAGGGACTTACGCCCATTTTTTACACTTATGACGGTTGATAATATTCTGTGCCTTCTTTCTGTTTCATTTTCAATGTAAGTCTGTCCATTTCTGCACAATCTAATAAGCTTCTTTATTATCTCTTCATCTTGCGGTGTTGCTTCATTTTTCCAATATGGTGTGAAGATAATCCTCGCTGCTCTTAAGCCATGTAATATTAAATACATATTTATCAATTTGTTTCTGATATCATCCCTAATAAAAACAGTTCAGGTTTAAAAAAATCTACATTTCCCTACTATCTTTTCTAGCCACCTGTGTGTATTTTTGCCCAACATCTTGGCCAAAATGAGCCTGTTTTTTTTTAAAATTACATTTCCAGCATTTTCTAGACATATTTTTAAAACATTTTAGCTAACCTGAATCTATTC